TGGCCTCTCCCGTTGCGGAGCACAGGCTCCGGACGCGCAGGCTCAGCGGCCATGGCTCACGGGCCCAGCTGCTCCGCGGCATGTGGGATCTTCCCGGACCGGGGCACGAACCCGTGTCCCCTGCATCGGCAGGCGGACTCTCAACCACTGCGCCACCAGGGAAGCAGGGCGTCGTTTTATGTACTTATTTAAACTTATTTATTTATTTATTTATGGCTGCGTTGGGTCTTCCTTGCAGTGAGCGGGGCTACTCTTCGTTGTGGTGTGTGAGCTTCTCATTGTGGTGGCTTCTCTAGGCTCTGGACGCGCAGGCTCAGCGGCCATGGCTCACGGGCCCAGCTGCTCCGCGGCATGTGGGATCTTCCCGGACCGGGGCACGAACCCGTGTCCCCTGTATCGGCAGGCAGACTCTCAACCACTGCGCCACCAGGGAAGCCCTCAGTAAGACTTTTATTGACATTTCCTCTACCACCTGGTACACACACTCCTTTCCCCTCAAGCCTGTACCCCCCTCTTCCTACCACATTTAAGAGGTGACCTCAGAGCCTTTTTAATGGACAGTAATTGAGGTCCTGTTGCATGAACTCCCTCATATACTTCCTTCTTCAACGCACAACATTACGTACTGCCTCCTACGTCTTCCCTGTCTTCCTTCCTGCCAGTCTCAGGGGAACTGAGCCTTAGCTCCTTCCTAAAAGCTTACCATTCCTCTACTTTGGAACCTTGATTTCCTGTTTCCCTGAGAACTGACCTACAATTATTGCCTTTTTCCTCCTCACCATCAATTTCTTCCTCTCAATGAACTTTCGTCCATTCTCCTTTCCAACATCTACTCCAGGGCTCTGTGCCCACCCCTGTATGCCCTCCCACTCCTCTTTGCCTGTATCTTTCACAGAAATCCATCTTTCATAGCCAGTTCCCACCTCCTCCTTATACTGTGCCATTCTCTCCTCTACTGACTCCTCTTCTGTGTCTTGTCTTGAACTTCACAATTAACTTTTCATCATATTCCACCAGGGAGGGCTTGCTAGTGATTTTACGCGAGTTGGTCACTTATTCTTCCCAACAGTACCTCAGTACGAAACTCTCTTACATTTCTTTTGATTCTCCCATGAGGCTTACAAAACCCTAAGCTCATAATTAAAAACATATTTGGTATAAACTCTCGTTGAGTCAATTTAAAATCCAAAACACTGAACACCAGCCCAAATTACTTTACTCAAAATCCCAGAGATGCCTTCAGAATAACTCTTTCTAGTTCAACTCATGACGCAACCCTACATTGACCATGTTCAGTCCAGCTGAAAGTTTAAGTCAAAATTGGAATCAACTGGAGGATTTCAACAACGTCAACTAACGGTGTGTGGAAGGGCGGGACTGTAGCACAACAGGGAGGGCAGGGCAGTAGATGCAGCTGGGCTGTAACAGTGATACTTTAATTTAATTAAGGAACCCATGGTGTTTGCCAGATCTTCCTGGCATAATGGAGGGAAAATGTCTACAAAGCTTGTTTCCTCATAGAATTATAGAATCCTAGGGCTAGCCAGAAACCACACCCGAGAACATGAACTGCCTGAACTCACGTAGCAGGTGCTACACGTAATATCAAGCACCATCTACTTTAGCCTTTGCCATCTAAGTAGAAGCTCTTCTTTTCATATTAACTTCCCCTTAGTCATCAAATATAAATACACAATCAAGTAAAAAGATGTAATAAATGTTACATGTTAAAAAAACATGTTACATGTTAAAAAAAGATGTTAATAAATGTTAACATCTTGCCTTATGTGGGTCTCTTTTTTAAAATGTTTTTTTACAGAAAATTTCAAATATATATAAAAGTAAAGACTATAATGATGAAACCCT